CGTCTTTAACATTTTCTAAACCCTCCGTGAAAACTTTGTGCTACCTAAAAACCATATTTCTCGTTTGAGTGGCGTCTTTATAAGCTTTTGTTAAATTTTCAAATGTCTCGGTGGCAGATTTCTTGTGTTTCACGCAAAATTTGGTACGGTACCGTTGTTTGAAATTTCACTCCGTCACAGTGTAACAAGGTATTAAAACTGCTTTGCACACCCTGCTGCTGCGCTGGAATGACTCAGCCCATCTAGCTGAAACAACAACGATCTCTACCGACGCGTTCATATCCACCAATTAGATGTTAGTTTGTTTAGTAGTAAATAGGAGAATCAGTACACTTACTTTTGCGGTATAGTAGTGACTTGTTTTACGCAACTGGTTTAGCACACATGTGCTGCTCATCGCTCCTTCATTGCACGCTTCACGCACTGATATGTGCCTTGCGTCCTCAAGGTACATGGGTTCTACTACTGGACTTGACTGAAACACACAGTTCTCACTAGTCTAGGAATACCACTAATTGTGCTCGATCGACTTACTTATCCGTGTAGCCGTATCGCCTCTGATGTTCAACTCCTCGACCAGGCGCTGCAAATCTCACGTTTGATCTCAAATATCCTTGTGACCGGATGGACATCAAAAGCATAACGTCTCACTTTGTGGTGCTTCCATTATCACCGTTTGTATCAGGGTTATGTCTGCTTCGCTTTTACGCATGAATACTTAGCGGGAACCTTTGATGAAATATGTCTATTTCTGCTATTGGTCACTTGAACCCGCTACACACTTTTTTCTGGTTCTAGTTAATTACTCAAGGTGAACTTGTCTGTACCAGAATGCAATTGTTATATAAGTTTATGAGTTATCCTAAGTCTGAGCTTCCGCTACTTGTGAGGTGGTATCCATATAAGTATTCTCGCCTTCGTTACAGTTTATGAGACCAGTGACGGTGGATGGACTAGGTATAATCTGGTCTTACAAAAATGTTTACCTATATTTTTAGCTTGCTTACATAACAGAAGGAAGGTGGCACATCACAGTCATAAAGGGCAACAGATCCAGAGACGCGCGCCATCTCATTAGCTCGCTTAAGTTTCTTCGAACTGCTGTAGGCTATTCAGTGGTGGAGATGAGGAAACCTGCGTATCATGATCCCGTTGTCACTTTACAATCGCATGCAGTTCAACAGCTTTACTCAATCACTGTCTTATTAGTACATTGATCAGGTGATCCGGTGAGATGCACTCACTTTTTACCGAAAATGCTTACGGAAGTTGGATTTCATATCCTTTGCTGCTAACTGACCACGCGCGCAACATATCCTTTCGACGTAGAGCGATTTTTACCCTTGCCAACAAGCTACGCATACCGTAAGCAACTAGTCTTTTAAGGTGGAAATTTTCATCTTGGCACACTTCCACATCCACCGAACTATACTATCTGGATCATGCATGCATTCAGCGATCCTCGGAAATGAAGCTATTGTAGACTTAGGTTGAAATTGTAATAATTACGTGGAGTTTTTCTCCACCCTTTTTTGGATTTGGCTTCGTTATGCTGTAAAGACAGTATACTTCTATATTTGCTATACCCCCGACTTTCCTTCCATTTCGCCGCGGCCTTCTCTTTATACGCACCTCCCACCGTTGCTCTCACATAGTTATGTTGGGCGTTACTTATACACTATTCTGTTCTCTGTCGCGCTGTATTTATCAAATTCCTTGTCTCGAATTATTGCTCGGTCGTGCACTTCTAACGATGTGGGAAGGCCGATTGTTGCTGAATAGCCAATGTGGTGCTGATCGATGCGAAGAAAACAGGCAAATGCCGACCCACCATACACACTCGGAGTGGCTTAGGTCGATGAAACAGATTCAATTCAGATTATATGTCGTATTACAGGAACTACTCAGGGCATCTTAATCCATACTGTCTATTCGGTCGATAACTCATCTCATTGAACTGTGTTAACTGGTTATTGCCCCGCATCTTACTGGTTTCTAGAATCCAGCCATTCATAATCTATTTGTACAGTGATTAGTTTCCCGAAGGTACATATGGTTATTCCGTTGCGTTAGAGGGCTGTTTGCTGCTGTTCAGAAAGTTCGGTGTCCCACCGCAGCACTTTTCTGTCGCTTTTCACCCTGCTGGTTTTAGGTCCGATCCGTCATCTGTTCTGCATCCCGAATGGGGTAATTTATGAGTGACTCATCTATCATTTCATATTCATTCCGTATATGCCGCCAGTCGTTCTTCCGTTTTTCTCTCTGTATCGAACTCCGGTGGCAGCTGATAGACTATCGGGTTTTTTTCCGTAACCTTGTCTTTCGGATAGCTAATGTGACCTCTGAAGTACTTCCAAGAGTTCCGTGTGTTCCGCATCATATTTATCCAGCTTCAACATATGATTGCTTTAACCAAGCCTTTGGGCACACTTATCGGTTTGTTTTACTTTATCCAATGTTTTAGGCTATCACTGGGGAGACCGTGCAGTTCAGTTCAGGTGCTCGCTTCTGATCTTGACACAGAGGTGCGACGTCCCCTCACATCGCCGAAATAATAGGGATTTCGACATGAACAATGATAATTTCGTAAGACATCACAAATAGTAAATTTGTCCTGCGAAATAACTGGGTGTACGTATGTGCTACACATCACTAAGTTCGTGACCGCATTGGTTTAGTTCCCAAACTCAACTTGCACTCCACTTTTGTTTACTATCATCTCTGATGCCATCTTTTTTATCGTGATGTGCATTCGGCAAGATGTTGGATGTCGCTCTGCTAAATGCAGTGTTTATATGACACTCGTTTTCTACCATTTAATTTTTCCCATTGTAACAATGCTCTTTTTATGACAATATGTCTTCGTTCCTATCTTCATCTCTCAGACTGACGTCGACATTGATTGTCGACGTTTATACTAACCCTTCAGTAAATTATCTAGCAGTCTTTCTGAGCTGTGCTATCACTCACTTTAGAACTATTCGCTAGGGCCATTATACCGTCTTTACATTAACCTCTTTAACCTATTTCCACCCTTATCCTGCGCATAGTCACCTAGCTGTTTCACCTCATTGAGCTGCTTACTGTGTTCTTGATTACTCATGAGACTGTTTGGACACTTGCCTTAATGTGGTTATACTTCGATTGACAATTGTTGAACTTTTTTAAAGGTTTTCATTCCAATAGTTCATAAGCTACATAGCACAGCCTAGTCCGGAAAAGCACCAGACGTGTTTCGCTCCATTTGGTCTCATCAGTGGTGCGCATTCTCTCGGTCCCCTACTGGTTATCGAACCCGTGACCGCTAGAGGCAAATGCCAACTAGCCAGCAGCTTAAGCCACTGCGCCATGGGGAACGTTGGCTGGGCTACATAATTTTTCGTTGAACTTGTTGTGTCTATCTCATTTATTCCCAATACAAACGCAACAAGAGTGCCGACTTTAACGTTCCATTCTCCGGCCAATTGTTTGCATGCATATACGCCTTCCTGACAAAACAGCTGCAGAACTATTCTTTCCCGTACTCGGACTTAATAATGTAGCAAAACATGTGTCAGCTGTACGCCATAACGGCGCCTCGCTGCCGTGCGACCACCACCAGCCGCACACAGACTGAGTACACTGCGAGGATGCCCACCCGCACGCGGATTCGAACCCGTGCCAGAAGGTTAAGAGACAAGCTCGTTACCTCTAGGCTACGGGCGGACTTGCTATCCTTTTTCCTCATCTTGCGTATTTTGCGCTAATATCAGCATTTTTGTTTCAGGAATCGATTGCTGCGTGATTACATCACCGGTTTACATGTTAACATTTAATGATTTTTATCCTCCCAAATGTTCCGGAATACCAGTAGCTCGGGTTGACGGTTCGGTTGATCATCTGTTCGCCGAGCTTACCAGTTTGGTCGCAAACGTTTCGGCATCAATCGAGGTGGTATCATCGGTCCATCCTTGGCTGCGGTGTGTTCGCGAAGTGCCAACAATGACATGGGGACTTCGACAGTCTCTCCATATCGAAACATTATTCTTGTAGTCAGTCACAATCGGTGCCGTCTCATCAGGTGCATTTGTGCTCATACATTCATGATGAAGCGCGCGTCATATCCTCGATACTCTATGTGAAGACCGACACAAAAACTAGTGGCGTCTATTTCCGAATTTACTTGGTGGGATATTACGCGACTGAGCGCTCAGTCAACGGCACTGATGTTATCACCCTGATTGGTCACGAGATGTTTGCCATCAAATTACCAAGTTTGGCAAACAAGTTAACATCTAAATTTTATCCTGATATTTCTTATCCCCGCTAAACAATGTGTGCGTGGGCTACAGTCTAGGGCTCATCCCATGGATTCACATTGCACTCACCTAATCCAGTTTGATTGCGCAATGTTGGCATAAGCACGACATCAAATCCTTTTGAAATTAGTTATCAGAAGTCATGTTGTTCGCTGGTCTCATTGTTTCCGTTTTGGTTCCATTAACGAATGCTACCGGGGTTTTGTGTGTGCGCTCTGTGGTCACATAAGCTATGGTTTGGTCTCTCTCTAAGCTATGTTCTTTGGATAGCAACGACTTTTCTACCTTGCGTATGACGTACCGACCAGTGCGGTTGTAACGTCAATCATAGCCATACGGCATTGGTACTTGCATCCTACCGATCGTGTCTTCCAACGCCTTCAAATCATATCATTGTACTCGTGTCTATCTGATCCTTTCGTCTCAGCTCTTGTTTTCATTGGACAATTGCATGTTCGTTGCTCTTATCTCTCCATGCTATTATCACACCAACAGCCACATGCTTACATCGACTCCGGCTTATACGGAATTGAACTACTTCCTGTGCCCATTATTCACTTTGTCCACTTATCACAATGAACCTTACAAACTTTTCCCCTGTGAGCTCACTACCTAATTTTCGCGGCATCAGCCTCTAGTGCTTGTTTCTGTCGCTGTAGACTTGAGCAATGTTGATCTAATTAGTCTCTTCATTCTTCTCAGCACGTCAATCTGGGTATCCTCTCAATCGTTCAAGTTGGACACGACAACTCCGGACCCACACCCAAGTGGTTCATCGAATTCGTCCTGGTTTACAACGTGTTTGTCAATCATCTTTATGTGTGGGTTCGCATTTTTCCATCGGTCCGATGTGGTTGTTTTCGTTCTTCATCGAACGTTTCTCATCTGGTTATCTCACTGACTATCTGGGACCTCTGATGCTGTTTACCCGATGGCTTGAGGCACTCATAGAATTTACTATCAACGGATTTGCTGAGCTCCATCTGACCTGATGCATCCAATTGGATTTAACGTATGCTGTCTAGGGAGATGTCTCTTTGCTGTCTCACTGTATATGCTCCCGCTGACTGCAGCTCAGCGGCGGTCGAACACAAATGCTGTTGACAATTCTCATTCCTCATCCGTTTCACTGAGATTAAGACACGGTAATAACTGCTCTTAACATAATTGCTCAAACGACTGCTTATCTTACGCCGGACAATAATCGGACGCTTCGTGATCAGTGCTTATCATTCTGATACTGATGGTCCGTCTCCCTTATGTGCGACCAAAATCGCCATTTTATCAACACCACGTTCCCGCGCAAGCTTTCGCATCAGGTACTGAGTGGGACGATCTGCTTGGCCAGAACTGAACTGATCATCACTTGATATTTTATTCATTCTTCCTAACAACTTGACTTAGGTAGTCTAACCATCAAAGTACCGGACAGCCGTTTCCCTGTTATTGTTCTTCATTGGTGCATCTCCTTCAAATCCACTAAGAAATGCAACCATGTCCACTACAGCTTGCGCAACTTATGCCACCGAGACACTGAGGTGACAGCTCATCATCGCATTCAAACTAACTGGGATATAGCGCGCCTCATCCTGCACTGTTTTGCAGCTTACGACCCATGCAAAGAACAGTGGCTGGCCTCCGGTAGTCACGACTTCCACTGCACAGCAGTTATGAACGCATCACATTTGTAGGCTTTCATAGTGCATTTTTAATGTGATGCACTCACTCGATATTCGCTCGCATGTTCACATTCTCGGTCTAGGCGAAACACTCGATTTCCTGGCTGCTCACTGGTCTCATGAACTCGCCAACAAATTTGTTTACTATCTTCCACTATCAAATTCATTAGGTGAGTCAAATTCTGACTGGAATCATCTCCAATGCGTTATAAGCGAGGTCTTTTAAGTGGCTTGTCCATTAGGCTCGAAGCATGTAGTTTGCTTGTACTATGTAAATATGCCTTATTGGGAAGGCGGTTTAGGAGTGCTTGCGGCGATGGGAACGAGCAACTATCGTTGCAGGGTCTTCGATACTGGGAACCCAGAAACACATCTGTTATTGTGACCGGTCCCGATGGACCCGTTAACATACTTTTTGGCTGAATCGTTGTGTATATCGTTTGGGAGAATGCTTCGCGTTCTCTGTATGAGTTTATCGTTTACTCACTCACCTAAAACTATGACGTCGCGTTAACCTTATGCTTACTTCTACGAGAAACCTCAACGTCAGGATGCTTATTGGAAACGAGACGACTTTCGATTCGGCCAACTTATTGCTGTCAATTCGGTTGGCAACTCACTGCTTGTTCACCTGATTTAGCACGAAACATTGGCGATTGGTAGTTACCACTAGAGGGAAAAGTCAGTTTGTGTTCTCATTTGTGTCGAATACAGTGGATTTTAAATTTCTCGTGCAATAAAGCAATAAAACTGTCTAGAGAATAGAGTCAATCGCCTCACTTTCTCAACCCTTCAAGTCGTTACCGATCGGGTTCCGAAACTCAATGCTTTCAAAAGACGAGTGTCCATCTAGGTTCCGAACAACAGTTGACTCACAGAGATGGTTAATTTTACATTCCAGATAGGCCGCTTTTATTGTAAATACTTCGCTTCATTCATTTTTACTTACTAATCGAATTATATAGTGCATAGAACAATGGGCCCACTATGAAACAACTTTCGATTTGACAACACACTGGCTTCAACTGGCATGCATAGCAATACATTTGTCGAGTGACGAACGTACATACGTTAGTGAATTAGTTGAGTTTATTGTCCGACTAACTCGTGTTGGCTACATACTCGTTGAAACCAGGCGTGAGTACTTAGGGCTTGGTTGAACGACACACGTTATCACCAAGGGGCGATTATGATTCGACACGATAGTGAGGGTTTTATGGGCAGTTCAGTCCGGCACTCAAACCCACTAGAATGCCATTGACGTACACTGAGAATGACTCGCTCACTAGAAGGGACAGTGATTGTTTCCAATATTGCCAAATGTTTCAATCTCACTACATCGTTCAATTGTTTGTTATATAGTTATTGACGTTTCATTTACCCGCGTACTTTATTAGTACTGTTGACCGTTTACGCGGTTGTTTTCGTGTGTCTCAAGTGACCTTTTGCCACATCCAATGTTCTGTATTGTATTCCATTGCCTTAGCCAAAGTCTGTAGATATGATGTTGGATATTTTCACACAGTTTTCCTTGTGGCCACTGGCTTGGACGTGGTATTGAAGACGACGCATTGGAACGCATTCTTATCGGCGAATTAGTTCGTAAGTTCAGCTGACCTGTTATTTCTCATTTGCTGCCTATCACATCTAGTTAGTTGCATTCCGCAGCCCATTTGCGGAAATTTCCCAATGCCGATGGAGCTATTTGTTAAATGACTGTCCTTCACAGTGTCACTCTTTGAGGCATTTATTTTTCGTTCCCGATAATTCCTGTTTCCGTTGACTACATTCACGTCTGATCGAATGAGTGAGACTCTCTTGTTAAGCTGAAAATCGGCACCAACCTAGTGCAGATATGTAGGATCGATCAGCCAATAATAATATTCCATTTATGGCGTCATGGTATCATATTGAGCGGTATTCTGGGGAAATTTCGACATTTCCATTTTCAGGATTTTTTCATATACCTAGACCAGTGTGCCAAGTGAACCTTTTAACGAGATGCATCACTTTACATTATTTTTCCGCATCTTTTTCCTCTTGATGTGACAAATGGATAGTCATCACTAGTTTTGTCTATTCTCTGAAGCCACCCATGCTGATTGTGTCGTCTAGGTAGACTGCGATTCCGTTGGTGGCGATGGCTGGAACAGCCCTCACACCAATAAGTAAGTGCTTACTTATTCTTTTCGAACCTATTGGCATCTATCGGCAAGTTCAAAGTTAAAAAATTCTGCAACACCTTTGGGGTAATAATCAGATCCCCGGGAACCTGAGTGGGAGGGGGCTTGTTTAATAAGCCACACTCGGCAACCATCACTTAACTTTATTAACACCATCAATGATTACGATAACTGCCACATTACTGACGGATAACTCATTTTCTTTTTTAACAGTTACAGTTATCATAAAAAGAATACCATACGTGATTTTTTCAGTAAACGTGGTACTACCGCTTGCCCGAACCGAAGTAGGGAGTTGACTAAGGTTACACTACGTCGTGCCTTTCGTTGAATATCCTGCCCTTGAGGGAGCGGAACGAAGTCAGGGAATCACACCTTTTGGCTGTGGGTGACGGATTTTACACTTTGTGCGCCTTTATCTAGTGAGCTGGCAAATGGGAACCCATTGCATCCCGCATCCATCTTCTGGACTACGATGCCCCACAGGTGAAGCGAAGAGCGGTGTCCAAGGGTAATAGCGAGTTACATTTGCCACGTCGAAGTGTCTTTTAACGGACATAGGTGGTTTTGTTTTGGGAGATCGCCTGCTAAGTGAAAAAATTCCCTCAGATCATGCAAGCCTGGCACTGAACCATTTTATAGAACGGGATTCACACGAACCACTCAGCTGATACCAAGAACAGCTAATTTTAGCAAACCATCCCCTGAGCCTTTTAATGTGGATGACTTTTGGAATTTGATTTTTCATTACCACTTTCACTTTTGACACTATTGTTAATAACGTAACACCACGCATACTTCTCGGGTATATGGGAGACTGTTCCTGTTATAGGGACAGATCGCTGTGTAAACTTATGATCATGATCTTATCTTAGTGAGGTGGAGATTACACCTTGCTTGTATTTTTAGACCACTCTGAGCTAGACAGTTTCTGTGTTTGCCGGTTTTTTATCTCTTACATTCCCAATTGCTATATTTTCATTTCATCCTGGAGGAAATTGTCAGGCAGTTTTCCCTGTGAAAATATCTCCATCACCACGTTCTGGTGGAGAAAGCTCTCAGCTTTAGATCTGATGTCCCTAGCATTTGCTTCAAACTTCTTAGTGTCTGGTAAGCCGTCACAGGGTGTGGAACTAATTAACGATAATATTTATCGTACAACTCTAGTTACGCTGTCTTCGAATAAAAGTATATTGCAATTTCAGTGCAGTAGGCCTGAGTAGGCCTTCTGCGTATCATATCGTGCACTAACATGCAGTTGTGTCTCACTTGTCGCTACTTGGCTAATTTGACTTATTTAAAACATGAGATTACCTTTATGATTCCCATTAAGAACATCAGAAGACGAAGCATGTGGAATGACACTGTCATTTCGTGCATACTCATTGGCCGTGTGCATGCAACTAAGGAAGTCTTCCAAAACAAAGGTATTTGAAATCAATCAGTGGTCATCAGTTTTATCCGATTGGTGCGTTACACACTACCACGATAGGCTGAACTGTTTTGAACACAGAGTGATGGGTGCTGCCGATCAAATGCCTCGTAATTGCTGAGACAACCATATTTCACGATTCACCTGGTTTAACCGTCGCATATTCCATCCGATTGTGGAATGTGTTCATTGATTCGGACGCCTAGATTTTGATTAGTGTGCCGGACATATCTGTCTTCACAGCCACATGTGAATTGGTATAAGCAATAGGATGTGCACTGCTTCCACACAGGTGTCTTCGCTAAAGAGTTTGGGAGCGATCTTGTGGGCTATATGGATTCCATAACGTATATTACATGGTATACCTGTGCGTCACTAGCAGACATTCGACGTGCTTAGAAAAGGCCAACATGAAAGGACACTTGGGGTGAAACTCTGAACGACACTTGCCACACTTTCGGATTTTGCACCCGTGCCCTTTCATTTCGGTGTATTCGGAAAAACTGCGCTGTACACTCCTCGAAGCAACTCGGACGCCATAAATGCCACGGAACCAGTGAACTTCACTCTTAACACGTAGCCCAAAGGTACCCTACTTTTGCTTCACAAATGCATCCACCATAGAATATCGAAGAGTAAAAATCAGTGGTGAGCATTAATTGTTATTCCGTCCAACTTTTTACTCCCCATGTTGAATTGTGTGTCGAGCTTTATGGTTTTGAGGCTGTTCTTGATCGACTTTTTCCATCGAATAAGTGGCCTTCGACTTACTTGAGTCGCGAGTGACTGGGTAATGCACTGTGTCTTATGTGAGTCAATTCGTGACTGGCACTGATTTGCGCTTTACCTCAGCTAGTGCTTTCAGCAGATCTTTGCACATGTTTATAACAGGTTGATTGCTTACCATCGATTACACCTAATCCGACAATAGTTTATACTTTATCAGTCTGGAACGACTGTGGCAAGGGAAGGAACATCACCCAGCATATTCCGGCGCATTTTACCGTCAATGTGACTATCGCATTGCGTTTTCGCTGCACATTCTTTCTGGTTCTACTACCTTTCAACCTCCATAAGATGACAACTTAAGTGACTAGACCAAAGGAGGCAACATATGTGGTCTACATCCATAAGGTTTGCGTGGCTGACGTTCAACCAATGAAAAGAAGAACCGTCAACCTAGAGAGATGGTCATCCTCGGATCTTCCACTGTATTTGAGTCACGCATAACCAACTAAAATGTTCACACTAGTCTCAACACAACTGGTGGTACTTACGACTAGTGACTGGGAGTGACAGCGAAGCCACCCTCAGTTTCCGCTACTTTACTTACCGGTACCATGTTCTTGTCCTCAAGCGTCAACTGCCGTGTTCTACTCCGTCCAGAGATTTGCTCCATTGAAATGAATAAACATAATACTTGTAATGATTTTTTGCTTGACTCTGATGCAATCTTAGTATTATTGGTCCATTTGATGACGAGCATGTTTGTGATTTTCGCCACTAGCACAGGCGGTCAAGCAGTGGTAAGTTCTCCCCGGTGCTTTCCAATAAGTGACGTTATCATTCACGTTGGCTTTTGCTTTTAACCACAGTGTTCTCCCTGGTGCTTGTGCTCACCTTCCCACTGTTTTTAGCCTTCTTACTCTGGTGTTACTGCACTCTGTTTGTACTTTTGTCGCACAATTTGTTCCATACGGCCACGTTGTATGTTGGCCATTTTCATTGTACAGAAATGCGATTTTTTGGTATCTTTTCACGATGGTGATCACAACACATCTGAGATCACTGGGAAATGTTGACCTCCTAATGGACAACTGAGCTATTGGTGCTTACTCAAATCATAAGACTAAATTTGCCAAGTTTACTTGATGGTTGCAAATGCAACATTCAAAATTGCGTCGCTACTAAGTAGTTGGACATTATTTAGACAAGTTGTCATCATTTTAGTTGCAGTCCAACTGCTCCGTTTCTCATAATATTTGAACCTAAAGTGCAGTCTCCGCTCAAAGCTGCGCATCATTCCACAGGCATACAGCCTGAATGGTAGATACATGTTACCCTAGTCTGCTGTTGATATCTTATTCACTGCATTCAACTGCTTCGCTAATCAATTTGGTACTAACGTTAGTTTTTTCTTCTTTGTTCGACCAATTTTACCTGTATTCACATTGTTTGTCAAAGCTCTATATTCCATGATGCAACTTGATAAGTGTCTAGAAGTATCTACACCATTTTACACACATGTTAGCACATTGTACCAAGCTTTTATCGCGGCACATTTTCCAAATCGTGTGCAGTGCTTTCAAGTTAGCGAGTTTTACTTCGGATAGGCATCAAAATAGAACAGAAGGTAGTGCTCGACCACTTTCATTGGACTGTCTGTCGCTTATGCTCTGGGCTTATGACCGGTGTCCCATTGGGTAACGTCCCATGACCAATGAGAGTGTCAACGAAGCCAAAACAGTGTTCTTAGCCTCGTTAACTTGAAAGCACTGCACGCGATTTTGAAAATGTGCCACGCTAAAAGCTTGGTACAAAGCGCTATCATGCGTGTAAAATGGTATAGACACTATTCCTTCCCTTATCTAGACTACGTTGATCTGTTTTCACCGAGCGGACTCTTTTACCATTCTTTTACCATTCTCTGGATTAACATTTTTTGCGGAATAATCTCGTATGCTAATGTACGCGTGGTGTGCTTGTTCTTTATTCGAATGCGCTGTTGTTATTGCTAAAGATCTCTTCCCCGATGAGTCATCTTCATGCACTTAGCACAACTACATAGCACTCGCGTTGGCTTATAATCGGGTCATTTTAGATTGAGTGGAACCTTTGGCCAAACGATGGTCATACTTGACGCGTAGCTACTTAAACCCCATTTTTTCCAACTTTTATGTTATAATTTGGCACGGGCGCAGATCCCACTAGCAGTGGGAGCAAAACAACGGCTCGTAGACGACGCAACGCAAAACAAAAGATGTCAGTCAGACGGAACACGACGAGCTGCATTGTAATAGGTGTTTGTATATAACACATCGGTCTTGTCTATCAGACTAGTTCGATCAGTTGCGCGGTAGATGGAAATTCACGTATACAGATTCATAGAGCTAATAGGAAATACGCAGTCTTCGAGTAAACTGTGGCCACGCGGGGGCCACGAATATATTATACCACGTCCAGTGTGCGCTGCGTGTTTCACTCTTATTCGTTAGAAACTAGCAGATTTTTTATTTGCTAGATAAAATCCTGCATTATGGTGTGTCCTGCGTTTACCTATGACTCACTACGTACCCTAATCTTGAAGGCTGCAAATAGGATAGGCCTCATATAGGACGTACTCGTTCACTCGGCCGCAGTTGAAAACGTCTGTGAATAAAAATCACATTTGTTTTTCCTGGGTGCATTTGTACTGTGCTATACTGATGTCATCCACTTAAGCACAAAGCTACTCGCGGATTGAACGAACCAATCAACATCTATTTCACTCGTTATTGCCCCAAAATAACGGAGCGCGCGAAATAAAATATTAGCTGCCTGCCTACGCGTAGAACCTCTTTCGTTTACAGTCATCCATGCTGAATGCTAATTGTCGACTCAGTGCACCTAAAACCGTTTCGTACGGGATGGATCTTTTCTTCCACCTGCTTGCGCACACACAGTTGCTATCCAGTCATCAATTGAGCGATATTGTGGACATTAATAGACACCATACTACCCCTGTCCTCAAAAACTAACCACACAGCCTATGGTTGATAGATCAGACTGTTTAGCTGCACCATCCGATCAATACCTCCGCCGATTATGTCAAGGATCCCTTAGCGAGACAATAGCTGAGAAAAACGGGCTGTTGATCCATTCTCAGCGTCATCGACTAGTCCGTTGGGCGGAACACTTTGAGAAGCAGTTCAGCAGACCTGCTGCGACCCTGCCACTTGTCGAATCACCTGAGCCGACGTGGGAGGTAGATATCCCACATCCCACTTTGGAAGAGATTCGACATGAGCTCGCCGTGTTAAAACGGAAAAAGGCTCTGGGACCCAATGACCTTCGTTTTTTCTGGAAGGTAATGGTAACTCTATGTTGACTGGACTCACTTCTCTATGTACACGATTTGGTACGCTGAAAAGTGCCTTCCGACTGGCGACTTTCAACTAGCATGCCCATCTTCAGGAAGGGTCAGCGTATCTTGTGCGAAATCATCGATACATTAGCATTGTTTCCGTTGCCTCCAAACTTCATACGGGTATATTTTTCGACGACTTATTGGCCCTCGTGAGAACCGAATCACTGAAAGCCAGCCTTGCTTCCTTCCTGATCTTGGTTGCATTGACCGCGTATTTACTCTTCGCCAAGTTTTAGAAAAAAGACACATACAGACGACCGACTATGGTGGGTTTCCTTGCCTTAAAAGCTGTCTTCGACTCTGTTAATCGAGGCCTTGTGAGTTTCTACGGAAAACTTTCTCTTGAGTTTCCCACTACAAGATTGATTCGCCAGGGCCGTCCTATATCTATTTTCCTTCTCAACTTTGTTATCGAAATGACTCGGTTCTTTCACACTATTCTGGCGTTATATCAGGTGACCGGCTGGCAAACATGGAGTATACGGACGACATAACTTTTCTTTAGTCTGTTGCATTGGCTATGCAAACACTACTAGGTGGACGTGTGCGTAGCGCTTCACGCTTCAGCACGTGCTTTGCACCATCAAAGTGGGATCTTCTACTGAGTCAAAGTTTTACTTAGTTTATCTTGGATCTTATTTGATATTTGACCATTTTGTGAAGTCTGCTTACCTCCAACTCTTTCGTTCGCATGTTAATGTTTGTTAACGTGTCTCACTATGTTGCTATCATTTCAGGATCTCAACCCACATGTTCCACCACTCATTGGTCTTCGACTGTCGTTTCAAAGGGACCTATCCTTACATCGATTGGCCAGACGCGCAGTTCACTGGATACACGTAATTATATTTGTCTATGATTTTTTAGAACTGTTCTGGGGTCCCTTGTCTGTTCCTCCTTAGACCTCTTTTGTGTCATCCTGTATGGCAATCGTGGGAAAGTCTTTTGTATCACTGATGAGTAGTGGGGATTCATCATGGTCATTCTCAATCAGCAGGCTTAGCTTAGTCTGAAAAGTACCAGGCACTTTCGTTCCGACCTTCTGGGTCTCGTCAATGGTGCGTCTTCCAACGGACGCCTGCCAGATTCCGTCCCTATGACTTCTGGTTGTCAGCAGGTAGTGCCACTTCGCCATGGGTAACAGCCGCAGACCTGCGTGCTTGACAGTTGGTCATGATATAGCCCGGCTCATCTTCCACTACCATGCAAGTTACGAACTGTGCAGGTGACAGTAGCTAGTCTCACCAGCTAGGACTTTCCGCATATCTCCTCGGCATAGCATAAGGTCTTTGTTGTTTTGTCTTGTTTGCCTTGTTTAGGAAACTTGAGTGCCATGACAATTCACGAACAGCTGGCCAACGCTGTAAACCAACTTCTGAGGTATTTCTGCAAAACATCCGGACGTCAAAGCACCACCAATTTGACATCCTTGTTTTACGGCGAACGTGGGCTTATCCCCTCCTTGCAGTTGCTGTTCAGCTATGGATTTCGTTCTGCACGTTTCTTCCAACGACGGATTTATGTTTGGGATTATATTGGTGAGTTATTGAACCGTATCAGCTATATCTTAACCTCATCTCACCAATTTCACACAAAAGGTGCGACCAATTAGGCCTCAATTACTTTTTGATCTTTCCTTATTCTCAACGCATCCAAATTCGTAGTGAGCCTAGACCCAAATGACTGCAACTTTTTGATGTTCATCACGGGTTTGTGTCTATGCGGGCTTTCGGTTGCATGCAAGTACTGTATAATTGTTATGTGGTTAAGCGATTGAGAGGAATGACAGAAAACGATGGAGCGAGCTAGTCAAGTTGTCTTTTTAATTGGATCCATCAAGCACCGCCGTTACCTATGAGGGGATTTACACCGCAGCCGGACACCTATTATTGCGAAGATACGGAAAAAGACCTAACAAATCAATATTCAGGTATCGTTCCGTTTGTTCAACTAGTACAAAGCAAGCGCCTATACTTTTCAACACATATTCCTCTTAGCTCTCACCGATCCCCGTGGCAACACTGGAAGATCCTTCACATCGTTTTTGTCCAAGGCACTTTTATACGTGAACATCCTCCTTCATCCGGTGGTACTTTTCTGTGCTACCCACCAACAATTCCTTTAGGCCACCTACATGGGGACGGTGCGCGCCATTGAAGCAAACGGCTCCAAGCACATTTTGACAGCAATATCCCGTTTGACTCTTGGGTCAACCCCTTCGATTACTATTGTGTCTCAAACATGGCTCACATGAGGGAGATTCATCTAGTTTGCGCACATTTCCGAACTAATTACGGTGGAGCAACACGGAAGCTAACTATTTTCAGTATCATGCATCCCAACTTATTCCGCACTCATCCACTCCCTTCTGTCGTTGCTTTTTTCCTAACCTTATTTATATTCCCATCTTTTACAGGCAAAGCTGCCGCCTCGTTTGCAGTGGAATTAGGGATAAATTTGCCAGCTACATCGACTCCATCTTCACCATTGATCCCGTTGGCTACCGGTCAGGAGTCAAGCGGTTTCTCAGCGCATAGCCTTCCGAGATTGTCGAAAAACCGGCCGATAGCTGGATCATTTACTCCCAGATTTGTGCGTCCATCCCCATCATTTTGTACGACCCGCGAAGCCAGAGCCAACACCGGAGCTTATTCTCAACCCAATTCTCCTGCACCTATGAGGATTTTCTTTTCACCTGTCACACAGCCACACTTACAACAGAGCACATTCCACCATGTGACCAGTCGTTTTGCTACCGGCCACATGTCAATGGCCACTTTGAAACAATCAGCCGCGCAATTCGTTCAACACGTGGTAAACGTATCCGTGACTGGAGCGAACTTGGGCAAAGAGGGACGATTGCAGGTATGACGGTCAGCTCAGCTGCATTGTGCATTTATATTGTGGTGATCGAAGTTCCGCGAATCATGTCCTCTTATTCTATCATATGCACCTTTCCTACAGCATGATGAATAGAGTGAACAAATAACACGAGGTGTGGCCCGATATTAGAGTTGTGTCACCTCTGGTGGTCACATTGCGAACGAGGTTACTTCGCGTAAGAGCAAAACCCATGTAGCTTTTCAACGGTTCCGCTGTCTATGGGTTTGGCGGTAAAATTTGTAACGTTGCCATACGGTCGCTGTTACTGTTAGTATTGATGAGGTTATACTGTTGACGGTGTTTATTCACTGGCGCTTGTGGAATATTGCTTACATTTGGTGCAAACATCGGTATGAGTAATGCTGAGATTCGCAAGTTAGTTTTGCGTACTAAGTCTGGCTGGCGAGGCCATGTCCCCCCGTATGCCCCTCGACCGACTTCCTCCTCGTGACTGCACGAAGTTAGGCGAAATCATGAGGTGGCCAGTCTATGACGTGGTACAAAGTATGAAGAAATTGACTGAAGGATTTGGTCAGGCTGTGATACATGTCGCCTCCCTCCACACCAGTGTTCGGAAGCCCTTTCAGACGTGACGCAGTCATGCAGTCATGGCCTTCCTGCATTCTTGCATCTAGCTGTTATTTTTCATTCCATCCCGTTTAGTTTTATGCAATTCTTTTTTGATTCCATTTGTGTTTTGTTTGAGTTCTACCACATTTCGTTGCTTTGTTATTCTTGATAATCTGTTAGCTGCCAGGATCATTGTTGTCTTATGGGGGAACTGATGAACTAATAGGGTTGACAGTCGGATGCAAACCGTCAAATACATGGACATCAGCTACTTATGCTTCCCGGTCTGCATCTGTCTTTCGTACAGCAATATCACATTTTGCAAACGCGAATCCACTTCAGTAGGCTCTGGTTCCGATTTGTTCACGCACTATTCTTGGTTCATCATTTAACATGAAATCCCGCTCCGAAATCACCGGCCAACTCGGACTCACTCATGATCCTTTCGACAACTAAGTTTACTGCCTTTTTCTTGTGTCAGCAGTCGACATTATAACTACGCGATTAGTAGACATACGAGACATTTAACGTCGATCCCGCGTTTCCTCGAACCAGAGCTAGGATCGATCCGGGTTCACACGGATGCTCGGTACTCGCTCCACTATACAACTGGTGCTATGCCCAATCGCAAAATTGCACTTCGGAGTGCTGCGCTCAGTAGTCAACCGGTTTTTGACCTTCCCCATTGAAGTAGTTACATGTCACTCTTCTGTGCGTCGACCGCCTTGCATCTAGTTGTTAACTAACGGTCTGATCTTGGGTGCGACATTTTCGGTGACCTTTTGTCTGCATCAACTGTACTACTGGTTGCTTTTTTACCACCCTTCTTTCTCAGCGTCTTCTCTGCCGTGCTGTACGTGATCATCTGCTGGCCAGTTGGTTTCCGGTGCTCGCTCTGAGCCCGATCACAAGTCAGATGTATGACTCTAAATGCTTCTTTCTAAACTCCGACCTCAGGCAAGCTGCTCAGAGCCTGATTTCTGCACTGGATGAGTTTCAACTTCCAATGGAGTCCGTACTGCTTGGTGAAGAATAAATTGACGCCGGTAGATCACTGCTCAGTACTGTACTCTTTATCTTTCCGAATTGTTCTCTTTTCAACTCAGTACACGATCCTCTCCGACCAGTCGCGATTAGCAATCCTGCATCTCACACAACTTGTCTTCTTATCAGCATAATTTATTTCATTCTCACTACGGTACTTTTATTTCTCTTTTTGTTTTATTAATGTGCATCTATTACCAGCTGTACAGTTTAAGTAATGAAATTCACTACTTTTCATTTTCGCTTCTCCATTAACAATTCCCCGTCTTCCACTCGCTCTAATGGTTGATCCTGATACTACTGGGAACCTGGTATCGGTAGCCTTTATTGTGCTCAACCTTGTGGTGTGCGGTTTCATTGTGACATTGTCGAGGTGATATGGCCATCACATGGAACCCTCTCCATACTATTGAGCCCTGCTCAAGGGCGTGTTGCTGTTTACCTAGTGTTTCACTTGAGGACATTCAGCAGCATTTTCATGGAAAGTAGAAGCCACGGTTAAACTTCACACAATAATCTGTCTCGACGAGGAATCGAACCCTGGACCCATGGATTACCGGTCCGCTGCTCTACCACTGAACTACCGAGGGCTGACGATCAGGTGCGCAATTTAATACATGTCTGCTTGGTTCGGGACGTGAGTGAGCCAGTCTGCAACACCAGGACAGATACTGTGAGCTCATTGGCAATACGTCGCTAACCAAGCAGAAGTCATGTATTAAATTGCACACATGATCATCAGCCCTCGGTAGCTCAGTGGTAGAGCAGCGGACCAGTAATCCGTGGGTCCGCGGTTCGATTTCCTGTCGAGGCAGATTATTGTTTGAAGTTTAATCATGACTTCTACTTTCTATGAAAATTACACTACTCACAAAAATCCACAGGTAATTCATCAGAATTGCAACTTTGCGAGTAATACGTTGCTCCTGCCGCCTCCCCATTCCTACCCTACTGATTACAGGTCTTTCGTGTAGTTAAAAGTAACACGAGCTGGCTTAGTGAAACTAGATTGTCATTGTCTTCCGCGTTTCCCTATTTGATTGCCTCTTGTGTCAAGCAATTGTTATCTTAAATCCAGATTGCCACTTATTAGCTCCAGTATGGTTCGCTAACCCACTAGACATGGCGCGTTGCTACAATAAGTCTTGATATACAAGCAGGACTGCCCAAGGAAGTGTCAACAAAAATTTGCCCAATATTTAACAGTACATAGTCCTTTTCTGCTATTGATTCCCCTCCTTCCTGATTCACATCAACGAAGTGCCTCAGCTTCCTCGGTCGACCGGAAGACCCGGAGAATACTTGAGGCTCCCAACGTCTGGGACCTCGACCTCATGTCCAAGTGGTACGCAGCTGTTCATCTGCCAGTCAACCTAGTCAAATCGTAATGTGTGCGCATGGGGAGGGTGTTGAGGGGCGCACGTACACACGGGCGGGTCAATAATCGCTACGTCCCAGACCTTCCATGAAGGACCTCGGCGTCCCCACACACTACGATTTGAAGTCCGTAGATAACACGAACAAGCCATTTGAAAACGGACTACGCATGCTTTGGGTGCTCAAACGCAGCTTCCGCATTTGATCTGAAGAGATTGCCACTCGCCTCTTCTCTTACAACATGATTGTGAGGATCGTTCCCTTTTTAACATCAACTGCCTTGAGGACAACGTTATTCACCTGAACCTCGTAGTCAAACCACTAGACAGCTCTTACACTTCCGCAAAAATAGCTTTCAATACAAGTATAGCATTCTTGAAACGACGGATTCATCTGACGAGTCGACGCCTGGTAAGTTCGCCTCCACACGAATCGACTGAGCTCAGAGTTGCAGACTGTCGTAACCCATACAGCCTATGACAGGTTTTACAACAAAACCTTGGACGTCAAATTAACGCATTGGAGCCCCTCAAAAGCAAAATTACTTCATAAGCTCCATCATTTCATGACTGTACCCAACAAGATCACCGGTCTAAATGGCAGGCCTGGATCTAGCAACAGATTTTTTAACCTTGAGCGAATGTGAGTGCAACTCGCTCACTTGTGCACTCGTGCTTTTTTCACTGTGGCTCAGCGGCATTTTGTCGCACACCTTTGGATCTATACTCATTCGTCGTGCTTTTAAAAGCTCCACCTTGTGATACTATTTTCTCGAGTACACTCCAGTGCATTCTACATTTACCCTGAATTCTAAATTCCGGTCAGTGTTTCGTCGATATCTAAGCACCAAAAGTTGCCTCACTCCAACCATCGGAAAGATTGTTTGGTCTCACTCAATAGACCATTGTAACGGCTTTCGAACGAACTGTCACTCGTTCAAATCCAACATTGTTTGGAGCAGCTATAGGTCTCAAGACAAACTCAGCCGGCATGATCCAAAGGTTTAACCAAGAATACTCTCAATCACACCCTCGTGTAATCTGCCCTACGTTCAAGCTGACATATTCGACTCGCACGCCAGAGAGGACAGTCTGAGAGCACACAGCTGCAACGTAAACACTTTGATTTCGCCGACAACGTCAGTAACAGAACAACTTGTTACCATAGAGGGAGAGTCATTCAAATGGTTCGTAACATTTCCTCAACAAGCGCGATGCCCAGTGTGCCACAGTCTAAAGACCTATGTGGATCGTGTGCCAAACTTCGTAAGTTGGGCACTTGGTGCCGTAACTTCTGCAAGTTTTTCCGTGCGAGATGCCTCCAAGTTAAATCTAGTCATGCCAAGTTATTAAACAAACCAGATTCTCTATGGTTCTGCGTGAAATGCACATCTATCTCACTGATAAAAAGCGTGCTCCTATTATCTCAGAAGTACGGCCAGCTACTAGCCAACTTTGAGGAAATAGTGACCACCAAGATCACCACGGTTGGGGTAAACATAGCGGACTGTGCAATCCAATCCTCCCCCGTAAGTGCTCCTCCTATCCGTAACACCGTAATCAACACGACACCTAGAGTTCAGAACATCAACTGCTATCCAAATATCACACGTGACTCACATTTGACTAATGCGGTCCCCAGTTTGACCGTGGTAACTACACGTAAGGCTACTTCCAAACTCCCAGCGGAGTACGTAGAAAAAGTGCAAGCCGGTACTGGCGGAAGTTGGATTACGGTTGCTTCCAAGAAGAGCCGTTATTTATAATTAACATCACCCCCAAATGGACCGGATAATGAGGAGCATAGCGGAGTTTTCCTAGTGCAAGCACCACCGGTTTCCTGTGGTACATCGAGTATTTCAATCACTAATCGCGACAAATCGAAAGGTGTAAAGAAACAACTACCTGTATTGAGCATACTGTGCTCCAATGTCCCAGAATCAAAGTCGACATCAATAAGAAGCAGGCAGTCGGATGACCTCAACCAGTGGCATATTATTAGTGACCTAATCGGAGTTGTACTGATACCTGTGCACGTAGTACGTAATAAGGGACACCCTAACTCTAAGCATTTCGGAGAGCCAAGGCTTCTGCGCGTTGTGCTGAACTCCATCACTGAAGTAGAATCAGTACTACTGTTGACAGGTTGACTCAGAAATGAACACTGCTCCATCCGTATCTTTCCAGACATCCCATGGGGCGAGCGTTATCGAGTTAACCGCACCTTAAAGGACCACCGAAAGGAAATTTCAACCAGAACCATACTTCTTCACGGGGTTCCTGAAACAGAAGCATGAAATAATAACCCGTGAAACACTGCTTGGATGATGTGCTAGCGAAATTCGTGTCACGGCTAGGTACCTCACCGAAATACAAAGGAAGTGGCCCGAGAGTGTTGAAAGTGGTCTTTCAGTCAAAACATATGGTAGCACGGCTGCTATAAAGTTGGTACATGTTCCGTTGCAAGCTAGCATCTGAGGTTCGGCTGAAGACAATGAGCGATATGCCTCCTCCGCGATGGAATCTATGAAAGAACAACGCACCAGTAGCGCGTCTAAGGAGCCCATACAACCTGTCGAACATGATATTGACCAAACACCTTACACTGTACGTCGAAGATTAGACACAGGACTAACTGCAGGGACCATGAATAAGACGTTAAACCCTCCACCAAGTGCACATCGAAAAAACGATTAGTTGCCGGCCACTCACTGGTCAGCGAAACTTCACGTATGTGTTGTACAACCTCCGAAACGCTGCTCAAATCTGAGAAACTTTCATGTATCTACACTAACGCCCATGGGCTCCTCAATAAACTTTCCGAACTTCGCCTAGGTCAGGTTGCGAATGCTTGGAACCTAATTTCTATTAACGGAACTTGGTTTCACTAAATGGTGACTGATGCTGAGATAGCCGGCATGCCACTCATCCGGAACCACCGCCGCAGCAGAGGTGGTGGGGGCCTACTCTTTTACCGCAGCGACTTGCAATGCGCAGTAGTTGATGAGCTGGGAACACATTACCGACTCACTCTGGTGCCGTCTCCGACTAAGACACAACGATGCATGTCTCGTAGCTGTCGTTTACCGCACCCAACGTCCACTCCGGAAATGGATTCCCGCTTGATACATGGTCTGAACAGAGTAACACACACTAGGTACAGCCACATTCTCATCTTCGGGGACTTCAATCTACACGATCTGGAGGTATCGGCATCACCCAGTGAGCACTTCAAAGCAGACTTGCATGAACTGGTCGCTAATGTTCCCTTATAATATCATGTCGCCACGCCTAGATTCAGGACAGCAAACAAACCATACATATTGGACCTTGTGCTCACGGATGAAGAGCTCATGGTTGATAAGTTATTGATGGATTGTGTATTAGGCCTCAGTGACAATGTAGTCATAACGTTCAACTATGTGTGTTATGTGGAATATCAATCTGAACACTCGGAACTAACTCATACCATCACACGCTGCCACCTATTGAAAGAACTCGTCGACGCAGCTGCTTGGGAATTCTCAAACAACAGTCCTCTTGACAACGTTTGGACAGAGTTCGTTGAGAGACTTAGCGACATGCTCATCAGAGCATCAGAGACCAAACCCCTTTGTCCCGCAAAAATGCCCTCAACTCTAAGGAGCAGGACTCGAAAATGCCTGGCGATAAGGGATACAGCATGGCGTGCCTACAAAATCAACCCCGACAGAGGCTTGGGACAATTTTCTGACCCATTGCACTGCACTTGTCCGTGAGGACAAAGTAACTTATCAACATACCTAGCCAAAAAAATTCCTGGCAAACAACAAACTGCTATAGAGGCATATCAACCATCTTCGTAAAGTGAAGCATGGAATACCCCACTATTCACGACAGGCGGTAGAATACAAAGCGTCGAAGAAGCAGGTAATGCTCTGCGGCT